GAGCTGCTGAATGATGGGCTTGTTTGTGTGGTTTGGCTGCGGCCCAGCAGAGTGCAGCCCTGACCAGGACACTCTGGAAACATACCAGCCTCTTTGTTCTCCCCCACTCACCCTCAGCCTCGTCTCTAAGCTGGGATAAAAGAAAACAGTGGCTACCTTCGACCTCCCCCAAGAAAAGATCTCCTCTTTCACTTTAGTCGACCAGTTTATTATTTTATTTCTGTTCGAAAAGCTGCAGGTCATTCCTTTTGTAGTGTGTCCCTTTGCAGCCTCCATCCCTCCCCATCTTCTTCCTCTCGCGTGTTTCCGTGTAAAACTCGGCCGGTGAGCTCTGCGGCGGTCAGAAAGTTGCTGAGAGCGTTTGTTTCTTCTTTTTGCGGAGCAGAGCGAGCCCTTCCCTCCCCTTCACTCCCTCTCTGCTGCCATCTGTCGTCAGGATTATCTGCTCGTCCACTCAGACGTTTACAGGCAGGACCAGTTGGGATTAGTAGGGCCGGGCGGGCGTTTCCTATTGAAACTGTGCATGTCTCCTACGTAGTCTGCTGCCTTCAGACACATGTCAGTTTTCAGCCACCATGACCTCACCCTCCACTAAATACACTGAAGAAAAACTGACATGTGTCGTTTTAATGCTTTTTTTTCCACATTAGATTAATAGAAAAAGCCTCTATACCACGATGACTTTTTTATTTTAGGTGCAGTAGCAGTAAAAACACTAAAGACAAGCCAGTTGTGGCATTTGTTTGCTTCGCAGAAAAAAATTAACCCCTATTTTTGCTAGAATCGCTTCTTAGATGTTTCAGAAAAGTCACTTTAAAAAAACAAAAAAAACTCCTTTTTTCGCCCAGGACTCTTTGTCGCGTGGAGACGGACAAGTGATGTAAACCGTCTTGTCACATTTCGTGAGTCGTAGCAGCCGTTTAGATGAAGGAAGTTTAAGATTTTAACAGAAGTCTCTTGGCTTCGCTTTTGAAAATCATGGAATAAATATAGAAAAAGACATTCCACCGTAGATTTACTCATCAAAAAAAAAAAGCTCCATATTCTCTTAATTTTTTGATTGCAACAGCTCTGTATTTTCCTTGTGTCCCTCTTGTAATTTAAGAAAGGATAACTATATATTTGTAAGAGTGTGTGACTGTGTCCAGAATTCAAATGTACACCCATATCAACTTTGACGGCTCGCCGACGGCCGGTTTTTAAATAAAGAGACCCAAATAATCCGACGGATTGGTCTGACCTGACGGTAGCCCGAGCGCCTGCTGCACTGACCTGACTGCAGTGTTTACTTCTTGCAAGTTTCATAGCCAAGGGGAAGACAAGCCACATTATATCCATCGTTAGCTGTCTGGATCGCTGCCTCGTGCAGTCACCTTCGCACATAAACAACATCGGATCCACAAAAACAAAAACCCCCCGAGAGAGAGAGAGAGAGAGAGAGAGGCGAGTTGAAGGCACGCAGAGTTCACATATCTGTACAGGTATCCAGATTCTTAACGTAGAAAAGTCTTAAGCTCATCCTCTTTGCTCAGGGTTTGATGAAGTTTGATGAAGTTGTTCACATATATGTGTGTGTGTGTGTGTGTGTGTGTAGAGGTTTATTGTAAGATGAAACTGTGAGACTGATTCTGAGTGTGATCACATCTAGAGTGGTTTTTCTTTTTTCTTCATCTTCTATTTATGCTTTCTGACATGGCTTGTGATACTTTAACTTTTAGGGTTGGTAAACCAAAGACTGTCTGGCGCTCACAGTTAATCACAGTAACCGATATATGAAGAGAGATCCGTTTGATTTTCAGTATTTTAGACGTGTAGCTGCTGTGACCCGCTCCTGATTTAACAAACACAAAAACAAACAAAAAAAACTCCAATCGTATTCCTCTTTTTCTTTCCATTAGGTCCCAGAGAGCGAGCGACTCGTTGGGTTTGTGATGTTTTTCTTTCTGAAGTTGTGGAAGAGAAATGCAGATTTACCAGCTTGTTTTTTTTAGCACATTGGTTGTGAAAACTACAGAATTATAAACCTCTCACTTTACCCGTAACACAAACACGTTCATGTTAAAATAGCTTTGTATTCCTTGTACTTGTATGTAAGGGTAGAATTTAACTGTGTGACTCCTGCTGAATCGGGAACGTGGACACCAAAATGAACACGAGTGCGGCTTCACTTTATCTCACGTAATATCACACTATGTAAAGAGCTAGTGGGCCCCATGTTAAGGCCTCATTACTATCACAGATCTTTTATTGTTACTGGAAACCAGTGGCATCCGTCGGGGCTACTTTTGTTCCTCTGTGGATTTTCCTCACAGACAGTTTCTTTTAATTCTGCATCAAACATGTTCCCACCGGGTGTCTGCTACTCCGAGCATCTGCTGGCGGCGTCGTAAGACCGATACGAGGCGTTGTTGGATGCGAACACCTTGTCAGAAACACAGATCGAAGCAACTGTCTGTGAGGCGAAACTAAACATTTTAGGAACAGAAGAAGGAAATTATAACCGAGGCAGGACTCTCTTTACGGCTTTGGAGCTGTTGAACGCTCCTTCTTAGTTCGAAACACAACTTTATATCACATTTCAGTCTCAAACGATGTGAGAGAAATCAGAAATCATCTGCTGTGGCTGTAAATAGCACCACAGCCTGAGGGGAGGATGGAAGAAAACGTGGCGTATTTTGGTGTCTGTGTTCCCGTCGTTCGATGTGCTAACAGTGTGAAGCTGATGCATAAAGGTCGTACACACGTTTCTGGACTTTCTGTTGATTGTTGAGATGTGAAAGGGGGTAAAACTTGCATGTGGGATCTCTTCTTATTCTCCCGTGATTTTGTTTTGTGTCATTTTGCTGCTTTGTATTCACACATTTATTCAGGGTTGTTCCCTCTTTCCTGGGAGGGGGGGAGAGTCCTGGGATTTCGGGGTATGGGGGTGTATTCTGGGTATCAGGCATTCCCACTCACCTGCTAAACAAAAGGGTTTTGATGAAGGTTGAATAAAGGTTTTAAAAAGTCGGAGAGGCTTCTAAAGATTTCAGCTGCGTTCACGTTCGTGTTGGAGGCGAACGAGAGCTGATGGACGGAGAGTAACTGTGACGTGCTGCGATCAGACTGCACAATATCAGCCCGACAGCGGCCTCGGGAGTAAAAATGACCTTTTTTTTTACTCTTGTCCTCCTGCTTCGGCACTACAAACAACCTTGTCTCACCTAGTTTGGCAATTTGTACCGACCGCAGGGAGTTTGGATGATTTTGTGGGTGAAGTCAGTCCGGAGCGATCTTCACTCTGATTAACAGCCTCGTCCTGCGTTAGAAAAGTTAAATAATGAGAAGAAAACACAGATAAGAGGCTTATTAAGTGTGTATGATTGTTAAAAATGAAGAAAATACATAATATAGATGGATAATTGTATAAAAAAATGCTAAAAAATATCAGGAAAACACATCTCTGACGCAATATTCTCATTAAATAATCACAAAATTCATCCAAATCGCTCATTTTGTTGCTCTACTGTTATTGTTATGCATTGAATATAACATGAAATGGTGTAGCCATGTTTAATAAATCTCAAAATGCATAAATATTGTGTAGTCTGATCTCAGGATTTGCATCAACAACAGCAGAAAACACACAAACACACATTCAATCCGCTGTAACGTGTAAATCTGCTGCCGTTGCGGCTCATGTTCCTCTGATGTGACGTGAACGCGGCTTCAGGCTGACGAACTGCACAAAAAGTGACTTTGAAACGTACAGATTTCGGATTTTTAAGCGCTAAAAAAAACTACGAAAAACAACGACGACTGTGTTTGCTGGGACTGATTTTGATCTGTGGACAGCGAACCAAATTTGGTCTCCAGTGCCTTTGTGAAAGAGCGAACGTTGGCAGGCAGTGTTTACAGGTTGTGGCTGTATTTATCGTGTTTGTCGTCGTCGTCGTGTCCTCGAGGAGAATTAACTGCGTCAGTCGGCCTTTGTTTGTGCTCGCAGTCATCAAGAAAAAGTCTCATCTTTTGTTTTTTAACTGGTTGAAGCTGTTTGAAACAAACTGATATGCATTTACTGCTAGAAAGAGAAATAAAACGTTTGATTTGATTCTGTTGAAATTAAGGCCTTTACATTCATAATTTGTAGTTTTTCACATTTTGTAGCGTTTAATTTACAAATCATCAAGCGAATCTCATCGTGTTGTTTCTCTAAAATGAATCATCTTGAAGGTTGGAACCTTTTTAAAGAATCGATAATATCGTATGAATTAGTTTGCTGTGTTTTTGTTTTGTTGCTTTAGATCTTTTTCATCTGTCGGTTTTTGGTGGATGTTTCTGTTCTCGATCACTCACCGTTTCCACCGTTTGGGTGTGTAACTAACTTTAAATGCAGCAACCTTTTAACACTTCCTGCCCCCCCTTACATTATTTTTGATAGCATTCTGATTTTTCATACATATTCTATCAGATTTTTTGTAGCATAGCGTGAATATTGTAGGAAATTTTTCCTATCTCGAGAAGAAACTGGACTGTTTTACGAAATAGCTTAATAAGAGAATAAAGTATTGATATTATAAGAGGAGTTATGTACTGTAGCTGCAACTTGTGAATTCAAAGCACCCCTTTAAAATTCAATAAATTTGATTTGATAGACTGTTTTGAACAAGTCTCTGTTTATTTTAGGTTTTTTTGTTTTGTGTTTTCTTGTCTTATGTGTCTGCACGCCATCGACATCCATCGGAAGACAGTTTTCACTAGGTTTTTATTTTAAAGCCCCTGAAAACTTTGCTTCAAATCCAAAGTATCTCCTCTGTAACATTAAATCTTCATGTTTCCACTTTCATTCAGCCTCACATTGTGTTCATATTGGCCGGTTTTCTTGTTTTGTTTTGCAGCAGCGAGTTATTCCGTTCGGTTTTGTTAGAAACAGTCGAATTAAAGAGGCTGCAGTCGATATGTTTATATGCAATAACAGTGTGACAGACGTCACCCCAATCTGCAGCGCTGCTCTTTATGCTGCCCTCCAGAGGCGAACTGCAGTAACTACACTAACAAATGGCCTTCAAACGGTTTTTCAAAGTCATTTTAGGTTATGTGATTATTAAATATGTATTCTCAAAGTAGTTTCCATGGTTTGAAAAATAATTACCTAATAATTCCTTAAACTATGACCCCAAAAGTGAAGCTATAGCACTTTGTATTACCATGAACAGACATAAAGGTAGTACAAACACAGTAACTACTGTCTGTAGTAGTAAGTATATAGATTTATTATATATATATATATAAGTCTTATTACATTAAATCCTATTATTTCATGTGTAAAAAGTTGAAATCGATGAGTAATTAAGTATTATTTTGTGAGGTTTAACCTGTTTAACACCTCATCCTGTCTGGTTATCGCGAGCTCAGTAATATCCAAACTATTGGTGAAGAGTTCCTTTGTTTTAATTCCCCACATTGTCCTGAAATTGTCTCGAATACGGTTATTTACAGACGCAGAAGCTGCACTTACTGCGGTTTTTGGTTGGATTTTGTATTCCCTAACATTTATACATTATTTTCTCTCTTAAAATAGACTGAACTTAAAAATGTGTCACAAGGTTAAAAAAAACACAGAAATACCAAAATATTGATAACAATCGTTAGAGATATCAGATGATGCAGTCATTCCATAAATATTTAGGTATTAAAAGGTGTTATAACCTACAGTAGTTCTTCATTCGAACCCAGTCTCCCAAATCACTCCCTATTTACTATACAGTGTCCGACCTCTCTGTGTGTGCAATAACATAATAATGAAAACATGCTCTACCTTCTGCTAAAAAATGCAATATGGCACATTTTATAGATGCAAAAATCTCAGTCGTGCAGCTTTAAAATGGTCAGTGATGACACAAAATGATGGTAAACTATTGAGTGTCTGTTATATAAGGAACGAGGTGATAATAGACGATGTGTGCGGCGTTACAAGGTGTCAGATGAGGCATAATAAACATCCAGATGGCCGCCACGAAGGAAGAAAGAAGACCACTGTCATCGTCCGTGTCTGCTTTAAATAAAATTATCTCCATTTTCGTCTCGCATTCTTTGAGTTTCCTGGGTTTTTATTCGGCGTGTACAGTGTCTGTGTGTAATGTGAAGTCACGGCCACCAGGAGGCGCTGCTGGCTCGAGCTGCTGGACTGAAGACCATCTTCTGAAGGTAATCTAGACACTCTAATTAAAAAATATAAATGGACTCATAAAGCTCAACTGTGCTGGTACAATAAACCAGATCATGAGGTTTTAAAATGACTTTTGGAGCTCCACATTTACTTAAATCTTCATTCTGTATTCTATCTTTCTTATTTAAAGTCATATAATCTCAACAATTGCAGCAATTTCTGTGCTGTTTTACAGGAATCTTATAAAAACGGAGGCAGATTTTCCAAAGGTAAAACACAGTTGTAGCTTATAACTGTTGCAAATACCAGATGTTCATTGTTTTGTTAATAGTCTCAAGTGAAGACAGTCCAGAGTCTTAATCAAGTCATAAAGCGCTCTTTAACCAATGTAATGTCGTTTTAACAACAGAATTAACTGAACAAAATTATCTATAATCTATAATTTTTTCCAACTGGCGCTCAGTAACTTGTGCATTTGTGGCACACTTTAAATACTTGATACCTTTCTTCCCCCAAACCCAAAGATTAAAAAGTATGTTATTTAAAGTTCAAAGGCTCAAATCCAAGTGAAGTCACACGAGTCATTAGTGCGTCGAGATGGGTCTAAAGTCGTCAAATTTGTGATTCGAGTCATAATAATCAATTAAAGCTGCGAGCTTTAAAGTGAATGTCTTAAGATGGCTGTGTCCAAATCTGAAGTCGATCCGATAAATTCCCTGGGAGGAGTTTGTTCAAATACAACGGAAAAAAATCACATTTGTCAATTCTATTAATACATAAGTAGAGAAATACAGAAAGCGTGTAATTTCGTTTCTGTATCCTATTACTAATTAAAATGTGATGTGCTTAATTTTCTTAATTTGAGGTTTTAAGAGCATTAGATTTATTAGGTAACACGTTACTTGGATACAGATTATTTCTGTTTCACTTCTATGTGTAAATGTTTAAACAGATTATCTATAGAGTAAGTGTGAGAATTCATGAAATTTACCATAACAAGATGGGTTTTTTTTGTGCCTAAAACATAACCAAACTTTGATGAATCTCAACTAATAAACTATTGAAATGTTACTAATACTCAAAGAAATCCTCAAATTGAAAATCTTCTGTAATTAAACTGAGGGCCTTAATGTGTCTTTAATGTAGGGAGTGGACTTTTTAGATTATTTCTTCATATTTTAAGTCCCTTTCAGAATAAAACTGACATAGGAAAGGAAAACCTTGCAGTCAATACCACAGAGACAGAAACATGTGAATAATCCAGGCCCCTCCTCCCCATTTGATCTTTTCCCGCCCCCTTTTGTGTCCCAAAATACTGAGGTGAACCTGTTGCTCCTACATTTAGGAGCCACAGATAGCTCAGCAGACAACACACTGTGCTGGGGCAGCAGGGGGTAAACATCGAGGAAACGCACACTAGATGCGCTACCAAGGAAGAAGACGCAACAAAATACCCTGCCACTTCAACTGGATCCCTTCGAAAGGTTAGTTTGATCATTCCCACAGGCTCCCGCATGCAATGAGAACCTGATCTGCCCGTGCAGTACGTAATCTCTTTTCCCAAGATGACATTGTGCATGAGTTTTCCATGGCTTATAAATAAACAACCGCTCTTACTTTGACCAGATGAGAGGGGAGAGTAAGAGAATACGCACATTGAGAGAAGTCCTCCATGGAGCTTGATGGGACTTTAATGAGTTGCTGCCAAGGAACCTTCCAGCAACACTGGTCATCCTTTAAAAACCCTTTTGCATCTTCGACTTTGCTCTGGAAAGGGGGCATGAAACGTCTTTGATCGCTTCCTCAGAAGGAAGGAAACAGTCTGGTCAAGAACTCGAACCCTTTATTTCGCTGTAAGGATCAGAGAAGGAACTGACAAACACAAGGAAGATCGAAGGTTTTGTTTCTGAGCTCCGTTCTGAACACCCCGTTACTCATTACACTTGAATCTCAAGGGGGTGGTGAGGGTTCCCTGAAGAAGTCATGGATGTAGCCAGAGAGAGCTCTCAGGAGGTGATGGTGAGCGAGGCTCTGGTCCAATTTAAGGCCACATTGCAAGCCGCCGTCAGGGAGGTCCACGTGGACGTGAGCGCTTTCAAGCAGCGCATAGAGCAGAGGATCGATGAGCTGTGCATTTCCAACGGACCCTTGGCCGGGGCGGTGACCAGGCTGCAGGAGGAGAACCTGCAGCTCAGAGCGAAGCTTGAGGCTCTCAGCCGCCTGGTGGAGGGTCTCGCCGGGGTGAAGATCGAGAGGAGCCCCGTTGAAGTGCAGGGGAAGAACGTGGAGGATGCTGTAGAGAATGGACATGCACAGATACAGTCCAAGACCCAGGAAGACCAGAGAGGGCTGGTTAGCTCTGGAAGATCAGAAAGCAGCCAGTCAAGTCAGTCCACTTCCACATACTCTGATCCATCAGGGTCAAGTGGAGGATCAACCCACGCTGCTGCTGCTGCTGCTCCCAGCAGCACCCCAGCCCCTCCTCCATGGAGAGCAAAGAGACACACTGAAATGAATGTGAGTACTCCTTCTGTTTCTCTACAGATAAAATACAGTTTACAGGATATTACCACAAAAGAAGGAGATCCTTGGATGGGTTTGTCTGTAGTAGAAGAAGGTGTTTTAAAGCTGTGCACGAATCAACACAAGCCTTCTTTTATTGTGTGATGTTCTGCTTTACTTAAACACAAATAATGGTAAGAGAATCCGGGAGTAATAATGTGTAACAGCTCAGTACGATGCACAACTTCACTCGAAGAGGCATCGATCCAGTAACTAATATGAATCAATATCACCAACATCATGAAACACCGGATCATTAATATGATTTAAATAATATGATTAACCTTTTATTATCTGCCATGTTATCCTAGATGTCTTGTTTTGTCCACAACCCAAAGACATTCAGTTCACTGTTACAGAGGACTAAAGAAACCACAGGGACTTTTTCTTGACTCAATACTTTAATAGTTAACTAATCAATTAATCAACTGATTGTTGCACCTCTACTTGCTGTAGGACTTGTTTATACCCCACCAATGCCAAGGAATCTCAGCAGCTCTACCTTTGTGTTTGGAGGAGGGCACGGAGTTCAGCGTTTAGCTCGTAACTGGCACACCCGACTCTGCCTAAACCTCCTTTCTAGGTTAGTTCAGCTTCACAAAACCTCTCATTCACAAAGTTGTGCCTACGTCAAGGAGTTCAAACAGTGAGTGGATGCACAAAATATCACCACTGCATCATCCAGCCAGTGTGTGCGGAAAAAATAACCCTTCAAAGAGATCAGACCTGCTTATGAACTGAGCTGTCCTGATCCATAAAAAACTCCATGTGGGTTGAGAGGATTTATTTGTGTCGGGAGGGCCCCAACTTGGATTTGGAGGTTCTGCAGTCCAATATATATTTAACCTCTGACCCCAGAGAACAGCCGTATCATACCATTATTTTTAAACCGCAGACGAGTGATGAATATTCAAATTAATAGGAGGATGATATCCTTACATTGGCCCAAACCGGCACACATGCTTACACCCTTTCCTACCTCCCCCCTCCACAACCCGCCCGTCATCTCAGCCCTCTTCTGCTCATGACCCGCTTTTATAACAGCAGGTCCTCCAAAGGGCACATGTATTTTTGGGGTGTGTTATTCGGGACTGAGCTGCGGAGCCTCTGCAGCTTTAACAGCACTGCAACTTCCCTCCACAAGTCCTAAAATACTGCAGATGAGCCACAGTCGGGGATGTAGTGGACTAGCTGACAAAACAAGAACAGTATCCTACGCTACACGTTTGTGTTGCGTTTTTTTTTTTATGACGTAACTCACACACTCGCACTATGAAGGCGGATATATGAATAAATATCTGTCCCCTAATCGCTCAGGAATCTTGTTTCCCGGCCAGTCCGAGTCTCAAATCTCCGAATGGAAAGTTGAATTGCATCGACGTCCCTGTCAATAATACCCCACCGGACCCACACCCTGAGTGTGACAACCAGCTGTCCTGTCGAAACGCACACCCTGCCAACATTCCTGTGCGCTGAAATCACCCCGGTGTTTTCCCACCCGTCAGCCCCCCGGCTCTGACGTACCACAGTGTTAGAATGACCGTCTGATTCCTCAGTTAATGCTCTGCTCCGTCATCTTTTTATCAGTATTTTTGAAATAGTTTCCTTGCAGCTAGCAGTGGTAGCGGGGGAACTGAGTGCAGCAGGAATGATGTATCTTTGTGTATTTGATGTTTTCCTTCGACCAAAAAGCTTTTGGATTATTACAGAAAATGAGCTTTGTGGCAAACAGAGTCTTTATGATACTTAAAGGTTTTACCACCTGTATGATTATTGCAGCGTAAATGCGATCACCAGAAGTAAAAAGCTATAAACATACTACACCACAGTTGCATGACTTTAATGTCACCATGACTAAACCTCCAACTTCTAATTTTGTAATTAAAATCTAAAAGTTGGAAGGTTAAGTCTCTGTGTCCAACCTCTGTCGTCTCATTTAGCCACTCGTTAGCAACCTTATTTTTTAAGAAACACAAAAGCTTCAGAATCCACAGGTGAGGTATTTACTGATGTGTTTTAAGTTGTAGAACAAAATGTGAAAATCTCTTTAGTTTGTGTTAATAACAGACTTTATTTCAGGCATCTAACCTAAAAAAAAACAGTCAAAAAGGTGGTGAGGGAACCAGAGGTGCTAACTTCTGAGTGTTAAAACTCATTCTTTTGAGGCTAACGTTTTTTATATCTTTATGAATTATGCGTCTTGTCTCATGTTGCTACCAACCTGAATCCAATGCTCAGTGCCTGAAGATGAACTGTAGTAACACTAATTATTAGTAGATGCTAGTCCTTGAAAGTCCTGCTCTGTTGCACCATATACAGTTATCATGTTAGCAGACATTTACCAGTTTACACATCCAGCAGAATTCATTTAACACACTCTCATTTTAGTTTTTGTCTCGACCAACTCCTGAGAAATATCTGCTATCCTTTGCAGCTTGAAGCTCCACTATGTTCATTAGCTAGTTGGTAACTTTGTCTGCTAGTTTATAGTTGAACTCCATATTTTCTGCTCAATACAGCTGGAAATTAGTTGATGAGAGTTGTGTGACGCCGTGATGCACAGTATGCTGACTAATGAATGATGGCGACTCTGCAGACTGAGCAGGAACGTTTGTTTTAAGTGTATTTTAAGTTAATGATATTGTGCAGCTTCAATGGTGATAAAAGAATTGCAGTATCTTTATTAAAGTGGATTAAGCATGGCAATACCTAATATTCATAGGTATGTTTTCATTAGTGTAGAATCACTTGTTGTGTTTTCGTTACCTTAGAATGATTTTATTTGTACCGACGCTGCAGGTCGCCTTCTATGTAAGCCCCTATGTTGAACCACCATATTTCTACGGTAGCCCAGAATGGACAAACCAAACACTGTCTCTAGATACTACTGTACTTTCTGCATCGCGTATAGGAAGCAGAGGGTGAAGCGAGGGAGTTGCAAGTTGTCTTTTAATTCCATGTTTTTAGACTTTTGCTTGACTGACAGGTGTTTTTGGGGTCTCAAAGTCGGCTCATTCAGTTATCTGGTCAGTTATCTTTACAGTATGTATCTACTTGTTAACCATAGAGTGAAAATAAAGACTGGCTCAGTATCGTCATATCTTATTTCATCGCGTTTTTCTCACTTCTGTAATAATGGAAATGCCTGTCTCTGTGTCTGTTTGCCTCCAACCGAAGCATGTTTGCATGTTTCTAAGAAAGAGCCAAAGCGACATCGGCCGTAAACCCAGCCAGAGGTTGAAGGGATTAACAGGTTCAGACGGAGTCAGACTGTGATATCCTGCAGGAGCTACCGTGGAGCCCACAGATCTCTGCGGCGCTAATCTCCCTCCTGATGACTAGTTGACGGACTGGCTGAAATGGCTTTACTGCGTTGGCTGCCAGACCGTTGCGTGTCTCTGGGGGGGAGAGGTGGGAGAGGGGGCAAACACAGGCCAAGCTTCAGGCTGATATACTTAGTCGCTGTTCAGGCTAACTCCCTGATTTCCGAAGTATCCATTTGGGGCTATATTGGGATGTAAGAAGAGTGGAGCGGAAACTCTTGCAAAGGGGCTGATTGCAAAATCTAAAATAGCCTCTCTCAGTGGGAACATGGGTTTGTTGGCCACAGCTGTCTTTAAAGGAGATGTTTTCAGCTGTTAACAGCTGAAGATCACACATTTAGAGGAGTGAGCACACACACACACACACACACAGAGGCAGGCTTATCACAGATGATAAAGGCTTAAAATTAATTTTAGCTCCACAGCGTGCATCAGTTTGAAAGACAAAAGGACCCTCTTTGTTTGTTGTGAGCGGATGAATGTTGAACCCCAATGAGTGATGTTGCTAAGGCAAATGTACAAACAGACACAGACACAGTTAGCCGCACGTCTTTCATAACTTATTTACCTTCCTGAGGTCATGGCGAGCAAAATAAATAAGGGATTCATTGCAGAATTCTTCATTAAGATTTGTTCAATTCAGTATTTGTAGGGTAGATATTAGTCCCCCTATTCCCTCTCACTTTTATTATTAATATATACTTTTTTTATTAAAGGGCATTTCATTTTGTGTTGATTCTGGCGGGCCCTGTGGACAAAAGCGGTAGTGTTTACCCCGCCTCGTTTCATGGATTTCAAGCAGAATCCGACCCAGTGTCGGACATTAAGAATAATTATAATAGCCAATCTCCTTGCTTGTTTATGTCGGTCATAAAGAGGCATCAGCATGAGATTGAGACTGTTTCATAGTCTATATTACTTAAAATATCAAAAGTAAAAGTAGTCATAGTGCAGTAAAAAGGTCCCAGGGTCAGAGTACAATGATTTGTTTGTTTTTAAGTTAATTTAAAAAAACATATAATACTTACACTACAAAATTTAAATTATGATCGCTGAAATGTGATTTAAAATAAGTTTCCTGTAACATTTCGTTTCAATATCAGCCTGCTACGTAGTCACGTTAATGAACAACAACAACAAATGAGTTCTAGTTCTTGTTCCGGATCCATTAGGGATTAACCTGCCTCCTGAGTGAACTATCTGTAGCTGAATTAACTTAAAATATCAAAAGTAAAAGTAGTCATAGTGCAGTAAAATGGTCCCTGGATCATGGTACAAAGGATTTTTGTTGGGAAACGAGCCATGTCTGTTATATCTAGTCGAGAAATTGAAGCACAAATTAGAAAAAGATATGCTGTTTTTAGATATTTATTCCAGCTGTGAGCAGTTCAGAAGAATTTGTTCTGAATTATCAGCACTTAAAGATCCAGTCTGTAACATTTAGACACCATCTATCACATCAGCCTTCCATTAACTGTGTGTGTGTGTGAGGTTCTGAATGAGTTTGTGGATGCCATTAATAGAACTTGTGAATTTTCTGATCAGGGCACGGATGCAAAAGGAGAGAAAAGCGTTGCCCACGTTGCCACGACTGCACAAGCGAACGGAAACCAAGGTATGAAGCAGATCATCCGAGAAGTTGCTCGCAGGTAAACCCTCCGGACGAGCTGAACTCACCTGTGGTTCTGTGGTTACGTTCTCAGAAAGCTCATCAGTGGACTCTGATGTTGGTCCCCAGTCCCACCGACCTCTCACCGCCACCACGAAACCAGACCCAGAGGCTTCGGCTTTAACTAACTCTCTTCAGTCTCCTGTGGAAACTCCCAACATGCCTCGTGAGTTGGTTCTTGTTTCACACATTGTTACGACATTATTTGTTTTTATACAAACATTTCAGAGTTAGCTGCAAGATGAGTTAAAAGCTCAACAGCAACAGATTGTAAATGTATCAAAAGGAACAAAAAAAATGTCCAAAAAAGATGTTTTACTGTCATAAAATCAAGATTAGAAAAAGTGATTAAAGGTGGACTGACCAAATCTAAGGTTGATCCGTTCTATTCTCCAGGAGGAGTTTGTTAAAAAAGGAGGCCTGGAAAGTGGCGCCAAAATTTGACGTTATTTTCAAAATGTCAGGCTTCCTGTTGGGTTTAAGATATGACTCCCAGAGGCTTTTATGTACATCTTAACATGATACACGTGCCTACCAATTATCAGACATGCCGGTAAAACGAGATGGAGGGGCTGATTTTTTTCAAGTGTATCATGATTTCCCACGCCACGCCACAGACACAGGAGGGTCAAATGAACACTAATGTAACAAAAATAATGATTATTGAGCAGTGATGCAGAGAAATCCACCATCTTCACCGTCACTGATTGTTTTAAGAATAAGATTGAATCTTTTTTTCCTTTCAGACCAGGAAGAATCAGGTCTTCTTCCCCATCATCCCCTCACCGCCATGACGAAAACCAGCTCCGAAACAGTTCCTCAGTCTCCTGCGTCAGCGCCCAAAACAACTAAAGAAACTCCAGTAAAATCAGTAGAGTCTCCTACTAAATGTGGTGAGAGAAAACTCTTATTTAATCAAAGTTTAACCAAACTCTAAATTACCTAAAAACCTCAGCTGACTCCTTAATTCTGCTGTTTCTGTTGTGTGATTGGGTGCTTTTATTTCCATTTTGACTTCACTTTCTCATCAGATTCTGCCTCTTTCAGATGCTGACGAACCCCAGCCACATCTCCCCGTCACTGCCATGACAACCAAACCCAGTCCAGAGGGTCTGATCGCCACCAAACCGGTGCCGTCTCCAGCGCCGGTGCCTAAAGCAGCTGTCCACTGTACGGCAGAGGCTCCAACAGGGGACGCAGGGGAATATTCTTTCATTAGAGGTCAGTAAGTTAGTTAATTTTAGTTACAAACATGACAACAACCTCCCTACTAACCACCTAGCAACCAGTTAGTAACGCCCTTTTACTGTTTAGAATACAATAGCAACCACCTAACAATACCATAGCAACAGAGCAGCCAAGACAGTTAAACATGTTCTTTAAATGTCAATGTAATGTACATTTAGAAAGTACTTTAGAAAGTTTATCCAGTCTATAAACAATAAAAAAAAAAGTGTGGTATCAAAATATGAACTTGAATTACTCATTTTAATTATTGTCATCCTATATTTATTTATTTGTATTACTCTTGTTTATTTGTTTATTTAGACTTTTAGGTTTTTTTTTCTCTTTCTTCGAATATATTAAATTTGACACCATGTTGAATGTGAAGTTCAGATAAAATGTTCCTTTATCAAGTCTGGCATTAGATTCAACTAAAATAAATACACTATATACATTAAAGTGAAATATGATAAGCCGGTTTATTTTTTACTTAAGTCTGTTAAAAGTGACTTTAAAGTAAAAATAAATGCACTTTGCTTCAATGTGATCTTTAACTGTATTTTCACTTTCTGGTTCTTTTCATTATTCTGATAATCCATCATCACCTGTGCAGGTGCGTCTGTAGCGAAGGAGCTGAGGTCCCAGGTACCTCCGGATCAGTTGGGCTCTTCATCTCAGGCTCTGGTCCACCTCCCCCTCACGGCCGTGTCCAAAAACAGCCCCGACACCCCCACTGCCTCCAACCTGAGTCCCACTTCTGCCCCGAATCCTTCCGTACCAGAGTCCCCGACAATGAAGAGAGGCGAATTCCCGTTCAGACGTGGTGGGTACAACCCTGCGATACATTAACCTGCTAAAGAAGGAGCATCAAAGCGAGCGTTAATTCATTATTTCTCTCTTCATCAGACGCCACTCAACCCAAACCACACTTGCCTCTCACATCCAACCCAGAGTCTTCATCATCTGCTATAACAGCGTCACAGGAGCCCGCAGTAAAACCTGGGGAATATCCCTTTAAACGGGGTGAGTTCAACCAAAGGATGTATGTCTTTATTTGTCTTTTTTAATTGTTTTAATTTAATTTAACTTTTATCTCTCCTCTTTAATTCAGTGCCCGTCCTGAAGACGCCCAGTCCGAGTCTGAAGAGGAGCGTGAGCTTTCCTCAGCCTGCAGGTAGAAAACAGTAAATGCTCATATGAGCTGTTTGAATGTACAAACTTATTTAGTTTTAATCTCTTTAATGTCTCTTCTTTTTGTGTTTCTGCAGAGAAATTACTTCCCTCCAAGTCAATCATAAAATCTGGTTTCTCACCTAATTTGGACAAGTAAGTCACGACCAAGACCAGGAAGTTATTGTTGACTATCGCTGCAGTAAAACGTCAATTGAACGCCGGCTGTGGCTACACATTTACACAAAGCAATGCAGGTTTCAGCTGAATCTTCCAAGTAAAAATGTGGATTAATTAGCAAGATTATAATTAATTATTTTTCTGACTCATTTTTGATGATAAAAATCTTTTTATATTCTCCATTTTGTATTTTGAGGTCAAATTGTTCTGTTGTCTTATATAAAACACTTGTATCAATACTTCTTATTGATATTTATTTTCTTTTATTTGCATATTTTTATCTAATTTAAGGGGAGCGTGCCTATGTTCCCACAGCCCTATGTTCCCACATTTCTAAGATTTTTTTCAAAATTAGGCCCTATGTTCCCACAGTTCCCACAACCTATGGTCTCCCACACCTATATGTTCCCACAGCCTACTGTTCCACAACCCTATGATTCCCACAACCCTATTGTTCCACAGCCTATGCTTCCACAACTCATGTTCCCCAACAACCGCCTAAAATTCCCACAACCCTATGTTCCCACATTTCATTTTTTTGTATTAGATTTTAACCCCTTTCTCCCACTTTGGTAGCCAATTACACCCAACCTATTATCCAGTAGCAATGGACTACAGATCTGGTGCGCCCATCTCTTTGTTTATTGCAAACATTTAATGTAAGTGCACATTGTCCTTTCAAATAAACAAACTAAACTTTAAACTAAATTTAAAAAAATAACATATTTGAAAAAAAAAAATTTTTTTTCTGTTTTTTTTTATATTTGTTTGTGCATTGGTACATATTTATGTTTGTGGGTACATGTGCATATGTATGTATATATGTATGTGTATGCATGTTTGTATGTATGTGTATGCATTATGTAGCATGTGATTGTATTACATGTATATACCGTATGCGTATTTGTACTTATCTGGTTTTGTTTGTCTGAATTAAGGAAATGAAAACAAGGGTTCAGCATCTATAAGCTCTGCTTCAGCCGAAACCCTTTTCGATCAACCTATTGTATTTTTTCTTGTAATGGTTGTGATTGTGACGATTTCTGCTGCTGCTGATTGAAATAAAGTTACTCATTCATTCATTCATCTACTATAAAATGCTTCCAAAAAACCTTGTGGGAGGAGAGGGCTTAAATTGAAGGGAAATGTAGGAACACAAGATCTTGTTAATAGCATGTAGTTATTCGATATCTTAATTTCTATAAAAGTAGGAGTATTTTTCCATCTTTGCCGAGCGAGAGTTTCACGTGAAAGAAATTAAAGGCCTGTCTCAAATAAAGGCTGGTTGAGTTGAGTGAAGCAACTAAAAGCCTGGGCTATTTAATAGAAGTTTCACAGCCTGTTAATGTTTTATCACTTTACTTTATTACCAGCTGTGTATATTTTCTACTGTTTTTCCTCCACAGGAAAGCAAACAAGACAGGAGGGGTGGAGTTTAAGGACGTGATGAAATCTCAAACGCTCCCACGCTCCAACGGGGCTCAGGCCAAACGGGCCATGTTTGAGAGGATGAACTCAGAGCCCACAAAGTATGTTTTTATTTTAATTTAAATTATTTGAATTATCTTCAGCCGTTCAGATATAAACGACATTCTCGTGTTTCTCTTGAACAGACCGAAGGACTCGAAGCCGAAACTGAAGCGCTCTCAGAGTTTCGGCGTGTCCAGTGCCAGTGGTATAAAACAGATCCTCCTGGAGTGGTGCCGCTCAAAAACCATCGGCTACCAGGTCTGACCATATCTGTCATACTTCCTCCTGTAATTCCCAAACAGTAACACAGCAGACATCTTTGATTTCCACTTGCGACAGCCTGACATAACAGGAAGCTCTGTGATTATGATAATGTCACGTAATCTACTGAAAATGTTGCATTAAATATCTAAACTGCTAAAGAACAGGCTTGTAAAAATAAGATAAAAGGTCAGCAAGCACAAAAAAAACTATGAAATATACATGCAATATGTCAGTCAGGGGTCCTTTAAAGTAAAATATGAGGTAATAAATGTTTAACGTGACGCCGCCGTCATCGTCTTTCTCCCAGAACATAGATATCCAGAACTTCTCGTCCAGCTGGAGCGACGGGATGGCGTTCTGCGCTCTGGTCCACTCTTTCTTCCCGCTGGAGTTTGACTACAACACGCTGGACCCCGCCAACCGCAAACACAACCTCCAGCTGGCCTTCACCACGGCAGAGTAAGAAAGACCTGATGAATGAGTGAATGAGTGAATGAATGAGTGTAAGAATAGAGGTTTTCTGACCTAGAGGATATTTTTTACTACAGTTTAGTTGAGCAGTATTTTGAGCAGAGGTGGGAAGTAACAAAATAAAATACTTTGTCGTTTATTTCCGTGTAACAAAACTATATATGTCTGAGTCTAAATTATTATTTAAGATATAAACACAAGTTGTATTCACAGAGCCTTCACTTATCCTACTTTAGAAAGGTTAAAACAACCAAACCAGGCGTCAGAGAGAATAAAAAACTGAATTTGTCAAAGAAAAAAGAGGCTTATTAAAGCGTCACAATTGTCAAAAACTAAAAAAAAACATATAATACAGACAGAGAATTGTATAAAAAGTTCCCCAAAAATATCATCAAATTCATCCAAATTGCTCGTTTTACACAAACTTCCTGCAGTTATTGTGTTCATTATTTGGGTTCATCGTACAGTTTATCAGCTGTTATCTACTGTTACTGCGTTCAATATGATATAAAATATCCATTAAATATGTCCCTTAAGGAAAAAAGAAGCAGGGACTAAATGACGCTGTAAGTAATTTATCCAATTTATTACTGAAGAAAGGATCCATTTAACAATCAATGGTCGTTTTCTGATTAATAATTAGTGGTTCTTTTTTAACCTAAAGCAGCAAATCTGACCAGGTTGGTTTTAAATATGACAGATTAATTATCTATAAAAAGCAAGAACCAATCAGAGAGCATTCAGGATGTTCTGTCAACATGTCCACTGATTTACTGCAACGCTGATGAGACACAACAGGATTGTTACAGAGCTCAGGAAGTCTGAGATGGGCTGAAAGTTGTTGGATTTGAACTTGAACTGTGTTATAACTCTGTCGTGTACGGCATCATTAATAATAATGTCCCAGCTAACCTCACTGACACTGATACAGCTCATTAAAGGTATGTTTAAACCTGATCTTTACTGAACTCCAGAGGGGGAAAAATCTGAGTTTTTTATGCACTTTGGCACCTGATGCAGTTTATTATTCAACTGTTTTTGCAATATTCTCATGTAAAATTACAATAAAGTTTATTTAAAAAACAAAGAGGCCCTCAGAAGAGTCGGGAAAATAAAATAAAGCAACTTTTTTTTACAGACATCTCCAATAGACACATACAAGATCTTTAAGACCAGCGTTCAAACTGGAAGCTCCTTGTCTGGATGTACTTTAATTGATTTTATCTTCACTACTAAATGAATAGAAATAAATAAAGCTGTTTATATTTCATTCATCCCAACCTCCTCCTGTGATTGTGTTCCAGGCAGCAGGCCGACTGTCTCCGTCTGATCGAGGTGGAGGACATGATGGAGATGGGGGACAAGCCGGACCCAATGTGTGTGTTTACATACGTCCAGTCGCTCTACAACCACCTGAAGACGTTTGAATAACTCTGTATCAGAGTTTAACACTTTACATGAGCCTCTGACAAGCAAACTAAAACCTGCTGCTCGCATATTTTTCACCTAAATCTATTGATCAGTTTTATACGGTTTGTGTGTTTTCACCAGAGTTCCTTTAATATTTATAGCGGACTGACACAGATTCTTAAAATGCAGTTTATTGTCAATGTGTGTGGCTCTGATGTTGCTGTATTTATGAAAAGGAGTTTTTTTTGTGACAAAGAAATAATAATAATAATAATAATAATAATAATAATAATAATAATAATAGCTGCTGTTGATCAATCAGAGAAAAACAATAAACTGGAGACCTGAGTTGAGTCTTGTAATGTGGCAAAAATAAAAGCAATTTTCTAATATTTTTTTCATTTTCAGTCTGAATGTTTTTAATTTCATTGTGTATTAAGATGTCGAAACTGGTCCACAGGTGACACTATAATACAAATATACACATTAACCATCTTAATGTACATCTACTGTAAATAAAATAATAACATTTGACACAATTTAAATAAAAAAACACACAAAACTAAATTCAAAATAAGAATTTAATTCAATTTAATTTTTTTTCTGTAAATTTACAGTAATTAACTGGCAGCAGCTTCGCCAGCAAAGTACTTTATGTATGCTTTTTACTGTATTTTATGTTTACAGCGTGATACTAGAAATACAATTAGTTCATTACTGTATTCTTATACATTTACAGCAGTTTAAAAAATCTCTGCCTGTTTATTTTTATTTGTTTTGTTCTTTCATACAATTTTTAATTTGAAACACGAGTGTTTATACACACTACTTAAACTAAATTATAAAATAAATAATACAGTAATTTACTGAATAAACTGTGTAAATGTATAAGAATACAGTAATGAACTGTACTTTTATTTCTAGTAACATACTGTAATTGTAAAATACAGTCCTTTGCTGGTGAAGTAGGGGGATGCCAACAAAAGGGGGGGTGTATTAGTAATTACACTACTAGTTACTGGGGAAAGTAATATTATTTCTATTAATAAGTTACTGACAAATAACAGACTTTGATAAATGTGAGTTTTCCTTCAAACTGTCAGAAGTGGGTTCATTAAATGGAGCGTACGCTGACATCTACTGGTGGAATTAATGTGGTGCAAAACACCTCCTTAAATACAATTTTACACAATTAACAGCTTTATCTTTAATATCTTAATCAAAGATAAAGAATAATATATTTTAATATGTGTGTGTGCTTAGATGA